AGGCGCCCATAGAGATAGGCGCCCATAAAGATAGGCGCCCCTAGAGATAGGCGCCCATAGAGATAGGCACCCCTAGAGATAGCCGCCCCTAGAGATAGGCACCCCTAGAGATAGGCGCCCCTAGAGATAGGCGCCCCTGGAGATAGGCGCCACTAGAGATAGGTGCCCCTAGAGGTAGGCGCCCCTAGAGATGGGCGCCCATAGAGATAGGCGCCTCTAGAGATTGGCGCCCCTAAAGAGAGGCGCCCATAGAGATAGGCGCCTATAGAGATATGTGCCCCTAGAGATAGGCGCCCCTAGAGATAGACGCCCATAGAGATAGGCGCCCCTAGAGATAGGCGCCCATAGAGATAGGCGCCCATAGAAAAAGGCGCCCCTAGAGATAGGCGCACATAGAGATAGGCGCCCATAGAGATTGGCGCCCAAAGAGATAGGCGCCTCTAGAGATTGGCGCCCCTAAAGAGAGGCACCCATAGAGATAGGTGCACATAGAGATAAGCGCCCCTAGAGATAGGCGCCTATAGAGATAGGCGCCGCTAAAGATAGGCGCCCATAGAGATAGGCGCCCCTAGAGATAGGCGCCCATAGAGATAGGCGCCCATAGAGATAGGCGCCCCTAGAGATAGGCGCCCCTAGAGATAGGCGCCCATAGAGATAGGCGCCCAAAGAGATAGGCGCCCATAGAGATAGGCGCCCCTAGAGATAGGTGCCCATAGAGATAGGCGCCACTAGAGATAGGCGCCCATAGAGATAGGCGCCGCTAGAGATAGGCGCCCATAGAGATAGGCGCCCCTAGAGATAGGCGCCCATAGAGATAGGCGCCCATAGAGATAGGCGCCCCTAGAGATAGGCGCCCCTAGAGATAGGCGCCCATAGAGATAGGCGCCCAAAGAGATAGGCACCCATAGAGGTAGGCGCCCATCGAGATAGGCGCCCATAGAGATAGGCGCCCATAGAGATAGGCGCCCCTAGAGATAGGCGCCCATAGAGATAGGCGCCACAAGAGATAGGCGCCCCTAGAGATAGGCGCCCATAGAGATAGGCGCCCGTAGAGATAGGGGCCCATAGAGATATGCGCCCATAGAGATAGGCGCCCATAGAGATAGGCGCCCCTAGAGATAGGCGCCCCTAGAGATAGGCGCCCATAGAGATAGGCGCCCAAAGAGATAGGCGCCCATAGAGATAGGCGCCCCTAGAGATAGGCGCCCATAGAGATAGGCGCCCCTAGAGATAGCCGCCCCTAGAGATAGGCATCCCTAGAGATAGGCGCCCCTAGAGATAGGCGCCCCTGGAGATAGGCGCCACTAGAGATAGGTGCCCCTTGAGGTAGGCGCCCCTAGAGATGGGCGCCCATAGAGATAGGCGCCTCTAGAAATTGGCACCCCTAAAGAGAGGCGCCCATAGAGATAGGCGCCTATAGAGATATGTGCCCCTAGAGATAGGCGCCCCTAGAGATAGACGCCCATAGAGATAGGCGCCCCTAGAGATAGGCGCCCATAGAGATAGGCGCCACTAGAGATAGGCGCCCCTAGAGATAGGCGCCCATAGAGATAGGCGCCCGTAGAGATAGGCGCCCATAGAGATAGGCGCCCATAGAGATAGGCGCCCATAGAGATAGGCGCCCCTAGAGATAGGCGCCCATAGAGATAGGCGCCCCTAGAGATAGCCGCCCATAGAGATAGGCACCCCTAGAGATAGGCGCCCCTAGAGATAGGCGCCCCTGGAGATAGGCGCCACTAGAGATAGGTGCCCCTAGAGGTAGGCGCCCCTAGAGATGGGCGCCCATAGAGATAGGCGCCTCTAGAGATTGGCGCCCCTAAAGAGAGGCGCCCATAGAGATAGGCGCCTATAGAGATATGTGCCCCTAGAGATAGGCGCCCCTAGAGATAGACGCCCATAGAGATAGGCGCCCCTAGAGATAGGCGCCCATAGAGATAGGCGCCCATAGAGATAGGCGCCCCTAGAGATAGGCGCACATAGAGATAGGCGCCCATAGAGATTGGCGCCCAAAGAGATAGGCGCCTCTAGAGATTGGCGCCCCTAAAGAGAGGCGCCCATAGAGATAGGCGCACATAGAGATAAGCGCCCCTAGAGATAGGCGCCTATAGAGATAGGCGCCGCTAAAGATAGGCGCCCATAGAGATAGGCGCCCCTAGAGATAGGCGCCCATAGAGATAGGCGCCCATAGAGATAGGCGCCCATAGGGATAGGCGCCCCTAGAGATAGGCACCCATAGAGTTAGGCGCCCAAAGAGATAGGCACCCATAGATATAGGCGCCCATAGAGATAGGCGCCCATAGAGATAGGCGCCCATAGAGATAGGCGCCCCTAGAGATAGGCGCACATAGAGATAGGCGCCCATAGAGATTGGCGCCCAAAGAGATAGGCGCCTCTAGAGATTGGCGCCCCTAAAGAGAGGCGCCCATAGAGATAGGCGCACATAGAGATAAGCGCCCCTAGAGATAGGCGCCTATAGAGATAGGCGCCGCTAAAGATAGGCGCCCATAGAGATAGGCGCCCCTAGAGATAGGCGCCCATAGAGATAGGCGCCCATAGAGATAGGCGCCGCTAAAGATAGGCGCCCATAGAGATAGGCGCCCCTAGAGATAGGCGCCCATAGAGATAGGCGCCCCTAGAGATAGGCGCCCATAGAGATAGGCGCCCATAGAGATAGGCGCCCCTAGAGATAGGCACCCCTAGAGATAGGCGCCCATAGAGATAGGCGCCCAAAGAGATAGGCACCCATAGAGATAGGCGCCCATAGAGATAGGCGCCCATAGAGATAGGCGCCCATAGAGATAGGCGCCCCTAGAGATAGGTGCCTATAGAGATAGGCGCCACTAGAGATAGGCGCCCCTAGAGATAGGCGCCGCTAAAGATAGGCGCCCATAGAGATAGGCGCCCCTAGAGATAGGCGCCCATAGAGATAGGCGCCCATAGAGATAGGCGCCCCTAGAGATAGGCGCCCCTAGAGATAGGCGCCCATAGAGATAGGCGCCCAAAGAGATAGGCACCTTTAGAGATAGGCGCCCATAGAGATAGGCGCCCATAGAGATAGGCGCCCATAGAGATAGGCGCCCCTAGAGATAGGCGCCCATAGAGATAGGCGCCCAAAGAGATAGGCACCCATAGGGATAGGCGCCCATAGAGATAGGCGCCCATAGAGATAGGCGCCCAAAGAGATAGGCACCCATAGGGATACGCGCCCATAGAGATAGGCGCCCATAGAGATAGGCGCACATAGAGATAGGCGCCCCTAGAGATAGGCGCCCATAGAGATAGGCGCCACTAGAGATAGGCGCCCCTAGAGATAGGCGCCTATAGAGTTAGGCGCCGCTAAAGATAGGCGCCCATAGAGATAGGCGCCCCTAGAGATAGGCACCCATAGAGATAGGCGCCCATAGAGATAGGCGCCCATAGGGATAGGCACCCCTAGAGATAGGCGCCCATAGAGATAGGCGCCCAAAGAGATAGGCACCCATAGATATAGGCGCCCATAGAGATAGGCGCCCATAGAGATAGGCGCCCATAGAGATAGGCGCCCCTAGAGATAGGTGCCCATAGAGATAGGCGCCACTAGAGATAGGCGCCCCTAGAGATAGGCGCCGCTAAAGATAGGCGCCCATAGAGATAGGCGCCCCTAGAGATAGGCGCCCATAGAGATAGGCGCCCATAGAGATAGGCGCCCCTAGAGATAGGCACCCCTAGAGATAGGCGCCCATAGAGATAGGCGCCCAAAGAGATAGGCACCCATAGAGATAGGCGCCCCTAGAGATAGGCGCCGCTAAAGATAGGCGCATATAGAGATAGGCGCCGCTAAAGATAGGCGCCCATAGAGATAGGCGCCCCTAGAGATAGGCGCCCATAGAGATAGGCGCCCATAGAGGTAGGCGCCCCTAGAGATAGGCACCCCTAGAGATAGGCGCCCATAGAGATAGGCGCCCAAAGAGATAGGCACCCATAGAGATAGGCGCCCATAGAGATAGGCGCCCATAGAGATAGGCGCCCCTAGAGATAGGCGCCCATAGAGATAGGCGCCACTAGAGATAGGTGCCCCTAGAGATAGGCGCCCATAGAGATAGGCGCCCGTAGAGATAGGCGCCCATAGAGATAGGCGCCCATAGAGATAGGCGCCCCTAGAGATAGGCACCCCTAGAGATAGGCGCCCATAGAGATAGGCGCCCAAAGAGATAGGCACCCATAGAGATAGGCGCCCATAGAGATAGGCGCCCATAGAGATAGGCGCCAATAGAGATAGGCGCCCCTAGAGATAGGCGCCCATAGAGAAAGGCGCCACTAGAGATAGGCGCCCCTAGAGATAGGCGCCCATAGAGATAGGCGCCCGTAGAGATAGGCGCCCATAGAGATAGGCGCCCATAGAGATAGGCGCCCATAGAGATAGGCGCCCCTAGAGATAGGCGCCCCTAGAGATAGGCGCCTATAGAGATAGGCGCCCAAAGAGATAGGCGCCCATAGAGATAGGCGCCCCTAGAGATAGGCGCCCATAGAGATAGGCGCCCCTAGAGATAGCCGCCCCTAGAGATAGGCAACCCTAGAGATAGGCGCCCCTAGAGATAGGCGCCCCTGGAGATAGGCGCCACTAGAGATAGGTGCCCCTAGAGGTAGGCGCCCCTAGAGAAGGGCGCCCATAGAGATAGGCGCCTCTAGAGATTGGCGCCCCTAAAGAGAGGCGCCCATAGAGATAGGCGCACATAGAGATAAGCGCCCTTAGAGATAGGCGCCTATAGAGATAGGCGCCGCTAAAGATAGGCGCCCATAGAGATAGGCGCCCCTAGAGATAGGCGCCCATAGAGATAGGCGCCCATAGAGATAGGCGCCCATAGGGATAGGCGCCCCAAGAGATAGGCGCCCATAGAGATAGGCGCCCAAAGAGATAGGCACCCATAGAGATAGGCGCCCATAGAGATAGGCGCCCCTAGAGATAGGCGCCCATAGAGATAGGCGCCCCTCGAGATAGGTGCCTATAGAGATAGGCGCCACTAGAGATAGGCGCCCCTAGAGATAGGCGCCCATAGAGATAGGCGCCCATAGAGATAGGCGCCCCTAGAGATAGGCGCCCCTAGAGATAGGCGCCCATAGAGATAGGCGCCCAAAGAGATAGGCACCCATAGAGATAGGCGCCCATAGAGATAGGCGCCCATAGAGATAGGCGCCCATAGAGATAGGCGCCCCAAGAGATAGGCGCCCATAGAGATAGGCGCCCAAAGAGATAGGCACCCATAGGAATAGGCGCCCATAGAGATAGGCGCCCATAGAGATAGGCGCCCAAAGAGATAGGCACCCATAGGGATAGGCGCCCATAGAGATAGGCGCCCATAGAGATAGGCGCACATAGAGATAGGCGCCCCTAGAGATAGGCGCCCATAGAGATAGGCGCCACTAGAGATAGGCGCCCCTAGAGATAGGCGCCTATAGAGTTAGGCGCCGCTAAAGATAGGCGCCCATAGAGATAGGCGCCCCTAGAGATAGGCACCCATAGAGATAGGCGCCCATAGAGATAGGCGCCCCTAGAGATAGGCACCCCTAGAGATAGGCGCCCATAGAGATAGGCGCCCAAAGAGATAGGCACCCATAGAGATAGGCGCCCATAGAGATAGGCGCCCATAGAGATAGGCGCCCATAGAGATAGGCGCCCCTAGAGATAGGCGCCCATAGAGATAGGCGCCACTAGAGATAGGTGCCCCTAGAGATAGGCGCCCATAGAGATAGGCGCCCGTAGAGATAGGCGCCCCTAGAGATAGGCGCCCATAGAGATAGGCGCCCATAGAGATAGGCGCCCCTAGAGATAGGCGCCCATAAAGATAGGCGCCCCTAGAGATAGCCGCCCCTAGAGATAGGCACCCCTAGAGATAGGCGCCCCTAGAGATAGGCGCCCCTGGAGATAGGCGCCACTAGAGATAGGTGCCCCTAGAGGTAGGCGCCCCTAGAGATGGGCGCCCATAGAGATAGGCGCCTCTAGAGATTGGCGCCCCTAAAGAGAGGCGCCCATAGAGATAGGCGCCTATAGAGATATGTGCCCCTAGAGATAGGCGCCCCTAGAGATAGACGCCCATAGAGATAGGCGCCCCTAGAGGTAGGCGCCCATAGAGATAGGCGCCCATAGAGATAGGCGCCCCTAGAGATAGGCGCACATAGAGATAGGCGCCCATAGAGATTGGCGCCCAAAGATATAGGCGCCTCTAGAGATTGGCGCCCCTGAAGAGAGGCACCCATAGAGATAGGCGCACATAGAGATAAGCGCCCCTAGAGATAGGCGCTCATAGAGATAGGCGCCCCTAGAGATAGCCGCCCCTAGAGATAGGCAACCCTAGAGATAGGCGCCCCTAGAGATAGGCGCCCCTGGAGATAGGCGCCACTAGAGATAGGTGCCCCTAGAGGTAGGCGCCCCTAGAGAAGGGCGCCCATAGAGATAGGCGCCTCTAGAGATTGGCGCCCCTAAAGAGAGGCGCCCATAGAGATAGGCGCACATAGAGATAAGCGCCCTTAGAGATAGGCGCCTATAGAGATAGGCGCCGCTAAAGATAGGCGCCCATAGAGATAGGCGCCCCTAGAGATAGGCGCCCATAGAGATAGGCGCCCATAGAGATAGGCGCCCATAGGGATAGGCGCCCCAAGAGATAGGCGCCCATAGAGATAGGCGCCCAAAGAGATAGGCACCCATAGAGATAGGCGCCCATAGAGATAGGCGCCCCTAGAGATAGGCGCCCATAGAGATAGGCGCCCCTCGAGATAGGTGCCTATAGAGATAGGCGCCACTAGAGATAGGCGCCCCTAGAGATAGGCGCCCATAGAGATAGACGCCCATAGAGATAGGCGCACCTAGAGATAGGCGCCCCTAGAGATAGGCGCCCATAGAGATAGGCGCCCAAAGAGATAGGCACCCATAGAGATAGGCGCCCATAGAGATAGGCGCCCATAGAGATAGGCGCCCATAGAGATAGGCGCCCCAAGAGATAGGCGCCCATAGAGATAGGCGCCCAAAGAGATAGGCACCCATAGGAATAGGCGCCCATAGAGATAGGCGCCCATAGAGATAGGCGCCCAAAGAGATAGGCACCCATAGGGATAGGCGCCCATAGAGATAGGCGCCCATAGAGATAGGCGCACATAGAGATAGGCGCCCCTAGAGATAGGCGCCCATAGAGATAGGCGCCACTAGAGATAGGCGCCCCTAGAGATAGGCGCCTATAGAGTTAGGCGCCGCTAAAGATAGGCGCCCATAGAGATAGGCGCCCCTAGAGATAGGCGCCCATAGAGATAGGCGCCACTAGAGATAGGCGCCCCTAGAGATAGGCGCCTATAGAGTTAGGCGCCGCTAAAGATAGGCGCCCATAGAGATAGGCGCCCCTAGAGATAGGCACCCATAGAGATAGGCGCCCATAGAGATAGGCGCCCCTAGAGATAGGCACCCCTAGAGATAGGCGCCCATAGAGATAGGCGCCCAAAGAGATAGGCACCCATAGAGATAGGCGCCCATAGAGATAGGCGCCCATAGAGATAGGCGCCCATAGAGATAGGCGCCCCTAGAGATAGGCGCCCATAGAGATAGGCGCCACTAGAGATAGGTGCCCCTAGAGATAGGCGCCCATAGAGATAGGCGCCCGTAGAGATAGGCGCCCCTAGAGATAGGCGCCCATAGAGATAGGCGCCCATAGAGATAGGCGCCCCTAGAGATAGGCGCCCATAAAGATAGGCGCCCCTAGAGATAGCCGCCCCTAGAGATAGGCACCCCTAGAGATAGGCGCCCCTAGAGATAGGCACCCCTGGAGATAGGCGCCACTAGAGATAGGTGCCCCTAGAGGTAGGCGCCCCTAGAGATGGGCGCCCATAGAGATAGGCGCCTCTAGAGATTGGCGCCCCTAAAGAGAGGCGCCCATAGAGATAGGCGCCTATAGAGATATGTGCCCCTAGAGATAGGCGCCCCTAGAGATAGACGCCCATAGAGATAGGCGCCCCTAGAGGTAGGCGCCCATAGAGATAGGCGCCCATAGAGATAGGCGCCCCTAGAGATAGGCGCACATAGAGATAGGCGCCCATAGAGATTGGCGCCCAAAGATATAGGCGCCTCTAGAGATTGGCGCCCCTGAAGAGAGGCACCCATAGAGATAGGCGCACATAGAGATAAGCGCCCCTAGAGATAGGCGCCTACAGAGATAGGCGCCGCTAAAGATAGGCGCCCATAGAGATAGGCGCCCCTAGAGATAGGCGCCCATAGAGATAGGCGCCCATAGAGATAGGCGCCCCTAGAGATAGGCGCCCCTAGAGATAGGCGCCCATAGAGATAGGCGCCCAAAGAGATAGGCACTTATAGAGATAGGCGCCCATAGAGATAGGCGCCCATAGAGATAGGCGCCCATAGAGATAGGCGCCCCTAGAGATACGTGCCCATAGAGATAGGCGCCACTAGAGATAGGCGCCCCTAGAGATAGGCGCCGCTAAAGATAGGCGCCCATAGAGATAGGCGCCCCTAGAGATAGGCGCCCATAGAGATAGGCGCCCATAGAGATAGGCGCCCCTAGAGATAGGCGCCCCTAGAGATAGGCGCCCATAGAGATTGGCGCCCAAAGATATAGGCGCCCATAGAGATAGGCGCCCATAGAGATAGGCGCCCATAGAGATAGGCGCCCATAGAGATAGGCGCCCCTAGAGATAGGCGCCCATAGAGATAGGCGCCACAAGAGATAGGCGCCCCTAGAGATAGTTGCCCATAGAGATAGGCGCCCGTAGAGATAGGCGCCCATAGAGATATGCGCCCATAGAGATAGGCGCCCATAGAGATAGGCGCCCCTAGAAATAGGCGCCCCTAGACATAGGCGCCCATAGAGTTAGGCGCCCAAAGAGATAGGCGCCCATAGAGATAGGCGCCCCTAGAGATAGGCGCCCATAGAGATAGGCGCCCCTAGAGATAGCCGCCCCTAGAGATAGGCATCCCTAGAGATAGGCGCCCCTAGAGATAGGCGCCCCTGGAGATAGGCGCCACTAGAGATAGGTGCCCCTAGAGGTAGGCGCCCCTAGAGATGGGCGCCCATAGAGATAGGCGCCTCTAGAAATTGGCGCCCCTAAAGAGAGGTGCCTATCCCTAGAGATAGGCGCCCATAGAGATAGGCGCCTCTAGGGGTGCCTATCTCTAGGGGCGGCTATCTCTAGGGGCGCCTATCTCTATGGGCGCCTATCTCTAGGGGCGCCTATCTCTATGGGCGCCTATCTCTATGGGCGCCTATCTCTATGGGCGCCTATCTCTACGGGCGCTTATCTCTATGGGCGCCTATCTCTAGGGGCGCCTATCTCTAGTGGCGCCTATCTCTATGGGCGCCTATCTCTAGGGGCGCCTATCTCTATGGGCGTCTATCTCTAGGGGCGCCTATCTCTAGGGGCACATATCTCTATAGGCGCCTATCTCTATGGGCGCCTCTCTTTAGGGGCGCCAAATTCTAGAGGCGCCTATCTCTATGGGCGCCCATCTCTAGGGGCGCCTACCTCTAGGGGCACCTATCTCTAGTGGCGCCTATCTCCAGGGGCGCCTATCTCTAGGGGCGCCTATCTCTAGGGGCGGCTATCTCTAGGGGCGCCTATCTCTAGGGGCGCCTATCTCTAGGGGCGCCTATCTCTAGGGATGCCTATCTCTAGGGGCGGCTATCTCTAGGGGCGCCTATCTCTATGGGCGCCTATCTCTAGGGGCGCCTATCTCTATGGGCGCCTATCTCTTTGGGCGCCTATCTCCATGGGCGCCTATCTCTAGGGGCGCCTATCTCTAGGGGCGCCTATCTCTATGGGCGCCTATCTCTATGGGCGCATATCTCTATGGGGGCCTATCTCTACGGGCGCCTATCTCTATGGGCGCCTATCTCTAGTGGCGCCTATCTCTATGGGCGCCTATCTCTAGGGGCGCCTATCTCTATGGGCGCCTATCTCTATGGGCGCCTATCTCTATGGGCGCCTATCTCTATGGGTGCCTATCTCTTTGGGCGCCTATCTCTATGGGCGCCTATCTCTAGGGGCGCCTATCTCTAGGGGCGCCTATCTCTAGGGGCGTCTATCTCTATGGGCGCCTATCTCTAGGGGCGCCTATCTCTATGGGCGCCTATCTTTAGCGGCGCCTATCTCTAGGGGCGCCTTTCTCTAGTGGCGCCTATATCTATGGGCACCTATCTCTAAGGGCGCCTATCTCTATGGGCGCCTATCTCTATGAGCGCCTATCTCTATGGGCGCCTATCTCAATGGGTGCCTATCTCTTTGGGCGCCTATCTCTATGGGCGCCTATCTCTATGGGCGCCTATCTCTATGGGCGCCTATCTCTATGGGTGCCAATCTCTTTGGGCGCCTATCTCTATGGGCGCCTATCTCTAGGGGCGCCTATCTCTAGGGGCGCCTATCTCTAGGGGCGTCTATCTCTATGGGCGCCTATCTCTAGGGGCGCCTATCTCTATGGGCGCCTATCTTTAGCGGCGCCTATCTCTAGGGGCGCCTTTCTCTAGTGGCGCCTATATCTATGGGCACCTATCTCTAAGGGCGCCTATCTCTATGGGCGCCTATCTCTATGAGCGCCTATCTCTATGGGCGCCTATCTCAATGGGTGCCTATCTCTTTGGGCGCCTATCTCTATGGGCGCCTATCTCTAGGGGCGCCTATCTCTAGGGGCGCCTATCTCTATGGGCGCCTATCTCTATGGGCGCCTATCTCTAGGGGCGCCTTTCTCTATGGGCGCCTATCTTTAGCGGCGCCTATCTCTATAGGCGCCTATCTCTAGGGGCGCTTATCTCTATGTGCGCCTATCTCTATGGGCGCCTCTCTTTAGGGGCGCCAATCTCTAGAGGCGCCTATCTCTTTGGGCGCCAATCTCTATGGGCGCCTATCTCTATGTGCGCCTATCTCTAGGGGCGCCTATCTCTATGGGCGCCTATCTCTATGGGCGCCTATCTATAGGGGCGCCTATCTCTATGGGCGTCTATCTCTAGGGGCGCCTATCTCTAGGGGCACATATCTCTATAGGCGCCTATCTCTATGGGCGCCTCTCTTTAGGGGCGCCAATCTCTAGAGGCGCCTATCTCTATGGGCGCCCATCTCTAGGGGCGCCTACCTCTAGGGGCACCTATCTCTAGTGTCGCCTATCTCCAGGGGCGCCTATCTCTAGGGGCGCCTATCTCTAGGGGTGCCTATCTCTAGGGGCGGCTATCTCTAGGGGAGCCTATCTCTATGGGCGCCTATCTCTAGGGGCGCCTATCTCTATGGGCGCCTATCTCTATGGGCGCCTATTTCTATGGGCGCCTATCTCTACGGGCGCCTATCTCTATGGGCGCCTATCTCTAGGGGCGCCTATCTCTAGTGGCGCCTATCTCTATGGGCGCCTATCTCTAGGGGCGCCTATCTTTATGGGCGCCTATCTCTATGGGCGCCTATCTCTATGGGCGCATATCTCTATGGATGCCTATCTCTTTGGGCGCCTATCTCTATGGGCGCCTATCTCTAGGGGTGCCTATCTCTAGGGGCGCCTATCTCTATGGGCGCCTATCTCTATGGGCGCCTATCTCTAGGGACGCCTATCAATATGGGCGCCTATCTTTAGCGGCGCCTATCTCTATAGGCGCCTATCTCTAGGGGCGCCTATCTCTAGTGGCGCCTATCTCTATGGGTGCCTATCTCTAGGGGCGCCTATCTCTATGGGCGCCTATCTCTATGGGCGCCTATCTGTATGGGCGCCTATCCTTATGGGTGCCTATCTCTTTGGGCGCCTATCTCTATGGGCGCCTATCTCTATGGGCGCCTATCCCTATGGGTGCCTATCTCTTTGGGCGCCTATCTCTATGGGCGCCTATCTCTAGGGGCGCCTATCTCTATGGGCGCCTATCTCTATGGGCGCCTATCTCTATGGGCGCCTATCTCTATGGGTGCCTATCTCTTTGGGCGCCTATCTCTATGGGCGCCTATCTCTAGGGGCGCCTATCTCTAGGGGCGCTTATCTCTATGGGCGCCTATCTCTATGGGCGCCTATCTCTAGGGGCGCCTATCTCTATGGGCGCCTATCTTTAGCGGCGCCTATCTCTAGGGGCGCCTATCTCTAGTGGCGCCTATCTCTATGGGCACCTATCTCTAGGGGCGCCTATCTCTATGGGCGCCTATCTCTATGGGCGCCTATCTCTATGGGCGCCTATCTCTATGGGTGCCTATCTCTTTGGGCGCCTATCTCTATGGGCGCCTATCTCTAGGGGCGCCTATCTCTAGGGGCGCCTATCTCTTTGGGCGCCTATCTCTATGGGCGCCTATCTCTAGGGGCGCCTATCTCTATGGGCGCCTATCTTTAGCGGCGCCTATCTCTATAGGCGCCTATCTCTAGTGGCGCTTATCTCTATGTGCGCCTATCTCTATGGGCGCCTCTCTTTAGGGGCGCCAATCTCTAGAGGCGCCTATCTCTTTGGGCGCCAATCTCTATGGGCGCCTATCTCTATGTGCGCCTATCTCTAGGGGCGCCTATCTCTATGGGCGTCTATCTCTAGGGGCGCCTATCTCTATGGGCACATATCTCTATAGGCGCCTATCTCTATGGGCGCCTCTCTTTAGGGGCGCCAATCTCTAGAGGCGCCTATCTCTATGGGCGCCCATCTCCAGGGGCGCCTACCTCTAGGGGCACCTATCTCTAGTGGCGCCTATCTCCAGGGGCGCCTATCTCTAGGGGCGCCTATCTCTAGGGGTGCCTATCTCTAGGGGCGGCTATCTCTAGGGGCGCCTATCTCTATGGGCGCCTATCTCTAGGGGCGCCTATCTCTATGGGCGCCTATCTCTTTGGGCGCCTATCTCTATGGGCGCCTATCTCTAGGGGCGCCTATCTCTAGGGGCGCCTATCTCTATGGGCGCCTATCTCTATGGGCGCCTATCTCTATGGGCGCCTATCTCTACGGGCGCCTATCTCTATGGGCGCCTATCTCTAGGGTCGCCTATCTCTAGTGGCGCCTTTCTCTATGGGCGCCTATCTCTAGGGGCGCCTATCTCTATTGGCGCCTATCTCTATGGGCGCCTATCTCTATGGGCGCCTATCTCTATGGGTGCCTATCTCTTTGGGCGCCTATCTCTATGGGCGCCTATCTCTAGGGGTGCCTATCTCTAGGGGCACCTATCTCTATGGGCGCCTATCTCTATGGGCGCCTATCTCTAGGGGCGCCTATCTCTAGGGGCGCCTATCTCTAGGGGCGCCTATCTCTATGGGCGCCTATCTCTATGGGCGCCTATCTCTAGGGGCGCCTATCTCTAGGGGTGCCTATCGCTAGGGGCGGCTATCTCTAGGGGCGGCTATCTCTTGAGCGCCTATCTCTATGGGTGCCTATCTCTTTGGGCGCCTATCTCTATGGGCGCCTATCTCTAGGGGCGCCTATCTCTAGGGGCGCCTGTCTCTATGGGCGCCTATCTCTATGGGCGCCTATCTCTAGGGGCGCCTATTTTTGTTGGCGCCTATCTCTAGGGGCGCCTATCTCCATGGGCGCGTCTCTTTAGGTGTACCAATCTCTAGAGGCACCCATCTCTAGGGGCGGGGTGATGGAAAGCGGGAGAATTGGGCGGGGTGATGGAAAGCGGGAGAATGGAGCGGGGTGGTGGAAAGCGGGAGAATGGGGCGTGGTGATGGAAAGAGGGAGAATGAGGAGGGGTGATGGAAAGAGGGAGAATTGGGCGGGGTGATGGAAAGCGGGAGAATGGAGCGGGGTGATGGAAAGAGGGAAAATGGGGCGGGGTGATGGAAAGTGGGAGAATGGGGCGGGGTGATGGAAAGCGGGAGAATGGGGCGGGGTGATGGAAAGCGGGAGAATGGGGCGGGGTGATGGAAAGCGGGAGAATGGGGCGGGGTGATGGAAAGAGGGAGAATGGGGCGGTGTGATGGAAAGCGGGAGAACGGGGCGGGGTGATGGAAAGCGGGAGAATGGGGCGGGGTGATGGAAAGTGGGAGAATGGGGCGGGGTGATGGAAATAGGGAAAATGGAGCGGGGTGATAAAAACTTGGAGAATGGGGCGGGGTGATGGAAAGAAGGAGAATGGGGCAGGGTGATGGAAAGCGGGAGAATGGGGCGAGGAGATGGAAAGAGGGAGAATGGGGCGAGGTGATGGAAACAGGGAGAATGGGGCGGGGTGACGGAAAGAGGGAGAGTGGGACGGGGTGATGGAAAGAGGGAGAATGGGGCGGGGAGATGGAAAGAGGGAGAATGGAGAGGGGTGATGGAAAGCGGGAAAATGGAGCAGGGTGATGGAAAGCGGGAGAATGGGGTGGGGTGATAGAAAGCGGGAGAATGGGGCGGGGTGATGGAAAGAGGGAGAATAGGGCGGGGTGATGGAAAGCAGGAGAATGGGGCGGGGTAATGGAAAGAGGGAGAATGGGGCGGGGTGATGGCAAGAGGGAGAATGGGGCGGGGTGATGGAAAGCGGGAGAATGGGGCGGGGTGATGGAAAGCGGGAGAACGGGGCGGGGTGATGGAAAGAGGGAGAATGGGGCGTGGTGATGGAAAGCGGGAGAATGGGGCGGGGTGATGGAAAGCGGGAGAATGGGGCGGGGTGATGGAAAGCGGGAGAATGGGGCGGGGTGATGGAAAGCGGGAGAACGGGGCGGGGTGATGGAAAGAGGGAGAATGGGGCGGGGTGATGGAAAGCGGGAGAATGGGGCGGGGTGATGGAAAGAGGGAGAATGGGGCGGGGTGATGGAAAGCGGGAGAATGGGTCGGGGTGATGGAAAGAGGGAGAATGGGGCGGGTGATGGAAAGAGGGAGAATGGGGCAGGATGACGGAAATCGGGAGAATGGGGCGGGGTGATGGAAAGAGGGAGAATGGGGCGAGGTGACGGAAATCGGGAGAATGGGGCGGGGTGATGGAAAGAGGGAGAATGGGGCGGGATGATGGAAAGAGGGAGAATGGGGCGGGGTGATGGAAAGAGGGAGAATGGGGCGGGGAGATGGAAAGAGGAAGAATGGGGCGAGGTGATGGAAAGAGGGAGAAGGGTGACGGAAATCGGGAGAATGGGGCGGGGTGATGGATAGAGGGAGAATGGGGCGGGGTGACGGAAATCGGAGAATGGGACAGGGTGATGGAAAGAGGGAGAATGGGGCGGGGTGATGGAAAGAGGGAGAATGGGGCGGGGTGATGGAAAGAGGGAGAATGGGGCGGGGAGATGGAAAGAGGAAGAATGGGGCGGGGTGATGGAAAGCGGGAGAATGGAGCGGGGTGATGGAAAGCGGGAGAATGTGTCGGGGTGATGGAAAGAGGGAGAATGGGGCGGGGTGATGGAAAGAGGGAGAATGGGGCAGGATGATGGAAATCGGGAGAATGGGGTGGGGTGATGGAAAGAGGGAGAATGGGGCGGGGTGACGGAAATCGGGAGAATGGGGCGGGGTGATGGGAAGAGGGAGAATGGGGCGGGGTGATGGAAAGAGGGAGAATGTGGCGGGGTGATGGAAAGAGGGAGAATGGGGCGGGAAGATGGAAAGAGGAAGAATGGGGCGGGGTGATGGAAAGAGGAAGAATGGGGCGGGGTGACGGAAATCGGGAGAATGGGGCGGGGTGATGGAAAGAGGAAGAATGGGGCGGGGTGACGGAAATCGGGAGAATGGGGCGGGGTGATGGAAAGAGGGAGAATGGGGCGGGGTGATGGAAAGAGGGAGAATGGGGCGGGGTGATGGAAAGAGGGAGAATGGGGCGGGGAGATGGAAAGAGGAAGAATGGGGCGGGGTGATGGAAAGCGGGAGAATGGGGCGGGGTGATGGAAAGAGGGAGAATGGGACGGGGTGATGGAAAGCGGGAGAACGGGGCGGGGTGATGGAAAGCGGGAGAATGGGCGGGGTGATGGAAAGCGGGAGAATGGGGCGGGGTGATGGAAAGAGGGAGAAGGGGGCGGGGTGATGGAAAGCAGGAGAATGGGGCGGGGTGATGGAAAGCGGGAGAATGGGGCGGGGTGATGGAAAGCGGGAGAACGGGGCGGGGTGATGGAAAGAGGGAGAATGGGGCAGGGTGATGGAAAGCGGGAGAATGGGGCAGGATTATGGAAAGAGGGAGAATGGGGCGGGGTGATGGAAGCGGGAGAATGGGGCGGGGTGATGGAAAGAGGGAGAATGGGGCGGGGTGATGGAAAGCGGGAGAATGGGGCGGGGTGATGGAAAGCGGGAGAATGGGGCGGGGTTATGGAGAAAGGGAGAATGGGGAGGGGTGATGGAAAGAGGGAGAATTGGGCGGGGTGATGGAAAGCGGGACAATGGAGCGGGATGATGGAATGCGGTAGAATGGGGCGGGGTGATGGAAAGTGGGAGAATGGGGCGGGGTGATAGAAAGAGGGAGAATGGGGCGGGGTGATGGAAAGCGGGAGAATGGGGCGGGGTGATGGAAAGCGGGAGAATGGGGCGGGGTGATGGAAAGCGGGAGAACGGGGCGGGGTGATGGAAAGAGGGAGAATGGGGCGGGGTGATGGAAAGCGGGAGAATGGGGCGGGGTTATGGAAAGAGGAAGAATGGGGCGGGGTGATGGAAAGCGGGAGAATGGGGCGGGGTGATGGAAAGAGGGAGAATGGGGCGGAGTGATGGAAAGCGGGAGAATGGGGCGGGGTTATGGAAAGAGGGAGAATGGGGCGGGGTGATGGAAAGCGGGAGAATGGGGCGGGGTGATGGAAAGAGGGAGAATGGGGCGGGGTGATGGAAGAGTGAGAATGGGGCGGGGTGATGGAAAGCGGGAGAATGGGCCGAGGTGTTGGAAAGCGGGAGAATGGGGCGGGGTGATGGAAAGCGGGAGAATGGGGCGAGGTGATGGAAAGCGGGAGAATGGGGCGGGGTGATGGAAATCGGGAGAATGGGGCGGGGTGATGGAAAGCGGGTGAATAAGGCGGGGTGATGGAAAGCGAGAGAATGGGGCGGGGTGATGGAAAACGGGAGAATGGGATGGGGTGATGGAAAGTGGGAGAATTGGGCGGGGTGATGGATAGAGGGAGAATGGGGCGGGGTGATGGAAAGCGGGAGAATGGGGCGGGTGATGGAAAGAGGGAGAATGGGGCGGGGTGATGGAAAGCGTGAGAATGGGGCGGGGTGATGGAAATCGGGAGAATGGG